ACACAACCTAATGTTCATATTTCTTAATGCATGTATATAAAATCAAATGTGATAAAAACTTGGATTAAAAAACTTATCAAATGGATAGTTGATGTTAAACACTTCGATTGATTGGATGTTGAGAGTAGAAATTGACAAACCACTTGAATTGAATGGAGTAGAAATGAAACTTAGGTTGATAAAAAAAAATTGAAAGCGAGAAAGGAAACTGAAAAGAGTTTTGGTGTGTTTTGCTGAAAATGATGAATGGGAAGGTCTGACGCGTACTTGATTAAAATCCTATTCGAAGATATATTTTCATAAGTTGTTACGAGTATGCGTTTCTGAATTAATTTTTGGCAAAAATAAGGGCGTGACTCACTTACAAAATAAATTAGATATAGAATAGAGTACATCCGAAAGTACATTTTCGAACTCTATATGTCGTTTTGGTTTTTCACAAGGGTGTGTGAGCACCCATATAAGAGTGGAAGAAATAATGCTGAATCCCATTAAATTTGAAGGCCCTGTGCAATGGAGCAGACTACACAGGTCCAAATCCAACCCTGGCCTATAATTACGAAGGTTTATTCTAAAAGTGACAAAATAGAAAATTATGAATACCTCAAGAAATAGTTGTGGGAAGAACATTAGACTGTAACCTTTTTCATTTCCATTTATAAGAAGTAGAGGCGTATGACATCTTTGTAAATCTATGAAATTAGAATGAATAGGGATAATCAGAAAATCAGGAATTGTTTTTCTCTTTTTCTTTTGTAATCACTCCATTAATCATAATCAATAAAATAGTACTCTTAATTTTCCCAATAAGATTTACCAAAATGGTATTGTCAAACATACATTTATGAGTTTACTTCTGACACTGTCTTTATTTGAGTTCATTCATAGTTATATGAAAATAGTAATACACTTATGGAAGAGGAAACTTTAATAAAACTATTTTCCTTCATATATGGTGATGCTCTTTTGAAAATATTCAGATTTTGCTGGTAAGTACTAAGAGAGATAGAGATGTAAATAACCACAAAAAAGGTATCGATTCAACCTCAAGTACATCTCATTTCATGATTCGCATTAAGCTCTTGTTCCTCTCAAATAATACATTCTCCTTTAATCTCACCTCATTATTACACTGGAAAAAAATCAACCAACAGATTGAAAATTCAAACATTGAAACCCAGTTATGTAACAGAGATACAACCATGCATGCATGCATGCATATGAACACCATTGCTTTCCATCATTCATTCAATCCTGCCATGGCGTTGCATGTGTTTTTCTAAAGGGAGATCATATGATATAATCCAAGAAATGTTTACGGCAACCCTCATTCAACCATTCATGAAGAAAAACTGATTTCTTCCTTCCCAAGAAATATGACAAATCTTGATTTTGGAGACTCATTCGCTACAGATCCTCCTCAATATTATCTTCTTGTATTTGTAGCTCTTGAATTCTATCAACAGCTTCATTTAAATCCAATCTCTTATCAACATCCATATCACAACAAGCCAATGCAATCTTCAAAAGCTTAAATATCTCTCCCTCATTACTTGTACTAAACTCCATATCTTTATCAAACACTCGACTAGTCCACTCTTCTTGCGCAACTGAACCAACCCAACTCACCAAACTCACCCCGCTTTGTTGTATAATATTAGCAGGGACTTTTCCAGTTAGAATTTCCAAAGTGAGTAAACCAAGACTCCACACATCAGTCTTCTTAGTGATCCTCCCGTGCTGCAAATACTCGGGCGACTTGTATGCAACCATTATTTCATGAGCAACATCTTGGGTTATCACAGGTACTAATCCATAGTTAGTTAGTATAGGCTCCAAAGACTCGCTCAATAGAACGTTTGAAGATTTAAGATTACCGTGAGGCGCAATCAAGTTCGGCATCTCTTTGTACAAATATTCAATACCTTGTGCTACACCTTTCACAATCTTCAACCTCTTCGGCCAATCAAGGCCTACTTGTCCTATCGCGTGACATCCTGTATCAGATGTAAAAGTTAGCGACACTAGTTACTGAATCTATATTCTATGATGTTTATTAGTTGAATTGTAAATGAAAACAGGAAACATGTACCGTGAAGACGGCTGCCTAAGCAGCCATTGTGAATGAAGTTGGTAATGAAGAGTTTTTCATCTCTTTTGTAGTAGTAAGCTAAGAGAGAAATGAGATTGGGATGATTCAACCTTCCTAATCTTCTCATGTGTTCTTTAAACTCTTCCTTACCAAGATTGTTCATCTGTTTAAATCTTTTGACGACAACGGTGGAGCCGGTCAACAGAGTAGCCTTGTAAGATGAACTGTGACAAGTACTTCCTAATATCTCAGCAGAGGCTTTCAAAAGATCGTATAAATCAAATTCTTCTGATGCTTCTTCCCTAACAAAAGTTAACTTCATTTCTTCTCTTTTGCTACTGTTGTTGCTGCTTCCGCGTGACTTTGTTGAACTTCCTGGATCATCTGAATTATTATTACTTGACGATGACGGTCCTCTCTTTTGAATACTACTACAATCCACAGTGTTGTTGCTGGTGTTGCTAATTAAGCCAACTCCTCTTCCTTCTCTTATTGATCTTTGATCCCTTTTTTTTCTTCTTCTAAGGAAAAATAATATTACTGACGCAATCACAAGCAATGCAAGACTTACAAGAACCACAACCAGAATACCGTTCACATCTATTGATGATGATGATGGTGATAATGATGATGGTGATGATGATGACGACGACGGTGATGATGATTTCTTTTGGGATGAACATGGTTCTAAAGGGGCTCCACACAGCTTTTCATTACCTGCGCTGACCCTTTTTTCGTATCAATTCATTGATTACTATGAGCATGTTTGAATTTGAACTTAACTAGTAACATAAGTACTTGTAAAACTATCTGAAAGATATTATGAAAATAATTTGTTTTCAGCTTATTTCTTTAAAGTCTCCACGACAGACAGCCGATGAAAACAGCATATAGCTTATATATAAAAGCTTATGTTGTGAGCGCTTAATTAAACTAGTGTTTGAATACATGAGTCTAGATATACATATGTCTTACCAGAAAAAGATGAAGCTGGAATCTTGCTAAGGGTGGCAGGTATTTGACCCTCTAATTGATTATTTGCTACACTAAATGATTTAAGAGTGCGTTGAAATTGAGGAATAGGACCACTGAATTTATTTCCATCCAACTTCAAGGATATGAGCCTCGGCAACGAAGCAAGGGAAGATGGAATAGGACCAGTGAACTGATTGTTAGAGAGATGAATTATCTTCAACCATTGCATACCCTTAAACGCGTCATCCGGAACGTCGCCAGAGAATTTATTATCGGAAAGATAAATGGTCTTTAAACCAGGGAGTTTGTTGAGGTTGGGCCAGGGTGAGTCAAATTGGTTCTGCATGAAACTAATGGTTCTGATATAAGGTAAATCCTTGATTGCATTGACGTCAATGGTGCCTGTAAGGTTCATGTTTTCGAGTTTGAATCCCCAAACATGTCCTTTATAGCAAAGAACGCCCGACCAATTAGCATTACCACCATTACATGGAGGGATGGATGTGTTCCATGAAGATAACGCGGCGTTGGTGTTTTGAAAAGAGGTTTTCAATATGAGGAGAGCATCTATATCTGAAATAGAAGAGGAAAATTTGACGAGAATAGAAAAAAAGAAGGTTAAGGAAGCGATGAAGAGTTGTGGTGCCATAATAGTGATGTAGTGAAGGGCAGGAACATGATGCACACGCACTTGCACTAGAATGATAGTGAGATGTCAGCGTGGTTGATCAACAGCCGTTTTGGAAGGCGGAGAGAGATGGCGTTGCATTTTTGAGATGGAGGAAGAGAAAGAGAGAAACGAAGCGAGCAGGAAGAAACAGAGCTAATAATAGAACACATGCATACAAAGTTGGTTGGTTGGTTAAGGTTGTTTCTTTTGTTTTTTGTTTAATTAATTCAGAGATCCATAGAGTGAGGTTAATTAATTAATCAATTGACCCAGTCCTTTAATTATTTATTTATTTTCTTGTTTGTTTTGCATCAGAGGGAGAATGACAAAGGTATGTCACATGTGTATCTTGATGAAAACACACCAGAAATGCACGGCGGACCTTTGATTACCACAAAATTGTATGTCCAATTATAAGATCCAAAAATCTATTACAATGTTTGTTCCTATAAGTATACTCCCTTTAATATTGAATATAATCCTAATTATAATAGAGAGTTGCGTCCACCTTGTTGAGTCTAATTTTTCTAACACAAATATTATTATCTTTTATATATTATTGCGTATAATTTATTTTAACACTGAGGATCAAATTTATTAACGGAAAAACATTATGGAAGTCATTCTTCGAAGACAATTTTTAGAGAATTGCACGCGCATCAGGGCATCTAGACCGGCCAATTTTAATTAGACACATTATATTTTGATTATTTTGAAATCTAAAAGAGGTTTACATCATAACCCAAAGGATGCTCCCCTGCAGCCTTATGTAGGCATGGTAAAGTAAAAGTCATAACCATTTTCTTTAGGAGTTTCTCCCCAGTCAACTTAGCTTATACAATAAACAATTGTTATTTGATTTACTTTATGTACAACATATAGTTATACAAAACATAACAGCAATTTAAGAAGCTCCAACTTTAAACACCTAAATTCAAAAGTTCAGAATACTACATTTATATTCGTAGCAAAACAATTTGTTGATGACTACAACACATTTGTGATATTTTATATAAATAAGAGATTATCAAGAGCGTAAATCTCAAGCACTTCTTTTATAGCAAATAGAAAAATGCATTTATTATGTACAAATTTTCACACAAATTCAAGGCACATAATTACTCAAGGCTTCATGGATCAGCTTAACCAAGCACCTTTCTAAACAATATATTGCCTCTTCCAGGGGAAGAAGGATAGGCAAGATGGTATTCTAAGGATTACTTATGACACAGTCTTGAAGGTCATGCTTGATCAACAACTTCATCACTGAGCTTGACGTGTTGCAACAGCGAGTGGTTCAACAGCGGCTAAAGGATTAACTTGATATGAAAATGCAAGCCGCCACAAATCGACCAAAGCCCTCTTCACCACGACCACTTGTCTTCTTACAGTCCTAAAACATGAATAGTGACTATATTCAGAAATTCATATAAGAACAGCAACAACAGCCCAGAAATGAAAACCAACACCAAAACAGTAGAAAAATAAAGATTAGTTTAAGCTAAGCTATTTTTGACGCACAACTCTAGTGTGAGAGGATATGGACATGAGATTCTACTAGGTAGCCAAGAATTCAAGTGATCACCTTTTCAAAGTAGCTTGCTTTCTTTTGATAACATAACAGACAAACAAGATCAAACAACCAAGTATAATCTTCCCACTAGGTACGACGAACTCCACATTACCAAACTTCAAATTAATAGAACGGAAACACCAAAAACATGTCTCTATTCGTTCAGACAATTTTGACCCTCCATCTTTGGACCTATACATTTTATTGTCGGCATACTTGCCTTTCAATGCTTCAGGCAATCCTCTACTCTTGTGTAATTCTTTCAACAAATAAGTTTCATTGTTATTTGTAGCCGTTGTAGGTGATTGCAGAGAGGAAACTTGAGACAAAATGGTATTTTTAATAGAGTGCATAGAGTGCAACCTTCTCAGAAGTCCCTATAAATACAATGACATACCAATATTTAGTAAATGCATGGGAAAATCGCATCTTAGGACAAACTGACTGATATTCAAAAAAGCAGGAGTTTTCAAATATTCAAAACTAATTTTGCTGTTACATCACAGAGAATGGTTGTTAACTTGTTATATTTACGAGTTCAATCTGCTAGGCACCATGTTTTTATAATGAATGAAATAATAACCACACTTGACAACAAAATAATCGCACTACAGATTTTCTTTTTAAAAAATGAATTTTTATAAATGTAGAGCTACTTTCACTATCAGGCTTCGAGCAGTAATGTAGAGAAGATAGATATCATATATCTAAGGTAGGTCGAGAAAATTGAAGTAAAAGATATGAACAGAAAACAAATTAGAGGGTCCGGTGATACACAAAGTAACATTTGTTATCATGTTTCAAATTTTAGACTTTACATGCCAAAAATAAAATCTCTCAATGAAACTTAGCTTAACATATGCACGAAGAACAATGAGAACAAAGAGCAAAGATAACACTAGAAACAACGATCAATTGGTTCTTGCAATCGGTATAAAATAAAAGCATATGATACGATATTTGCAAAAAGATAACTTAATGCTCAGTTCCTACCCGACCGCATTGACAACACCGTTGACATTTCACATATGCCATACATAGAAAATTCAGCTAATATATTGTTCACAAAGTGCACGCCAGCAGGAAAATTGAGCATTTCTAATCAGGCAAAACAAGAACATAAATACGTTTCCCAATTCCAGTTGAAAATACTGATTAAAAAAAGCTTTAATATTGTTGAAGAACTACTAACAAACTTAATCTGCAAAGGACACTCTTACCTGTCGATCTTCCTCAGGCAATGGAGCATTTTCAACCCAGGAAATTGCAAGGTCTACATCTTCTAGAACCGTTGCAAGAAGTGTGATGGCGTAGACCTCAACAACTTCCAAATATTCATCAATTCCAAGAACAAAATGTCTTTCGAAACTACTTCCATGCCCTACATTTTCTTCTTCAATGACAGCATCATATTGCCCATCACCAAGAGTCCATCCATTAAGAAATTCTTCGAGAAATTCTCGAACACCAAAAGCAGAACCTTGTGCTATTTGAAAACAAGCTCTGAACCGAATAAAAATACACAAAGATGAGTTTGATCAATGACCTACATATCCCAGACCTATATAGCACCGACACCTCTAAAAAAGGTTGTGTTCATGTCCATGTCAGACACCTGCACGGACACTTGTGATTTTGATTTATTTATTTTTTAAAATTATTATCAGTGTCGCCGTGTCAGTGTCAGAGGTCGTTTTTAAACTTCATAGTCCCAAACTCTTGTGGATGAATGAGTGTGAAACAAAGCAAAAATCATACCCAGTAAGGAGAACTTGTGCAGGAATAGTTTTTAGTGAAATGAAGTGCATTCTAAGTTGATCAAGAATTTCCGGTGTCTTGCCAAGCTGATCGAATGCTTGAATGAGGACCATAGCAGTTGATTGAAGCATATCTTGAATTGCAGTGTCTCTGTGATCAGAATCACGAGGCAAGCGTTTCAAGATAGAGGAAGCGGACGATGCAGCTTGTTCGTACATGGAGCAAACAAGGTAGCTACAAAACAACACATCGTTGAAAGTATCAGCAATAGCAAAACCCTAATATTTGAGTTACAGAAGAATTGAAGAAAAAATTACCTCTCTGAAGCCTCGATTTCTTCCCATGTCGGTGTTTCGGAGTCGGAATCTTCCATAATTTCCGGTTCAGTACGACGCCGTTAGAGATTGCAAATGTAGCGAAGAAATTTGAAAAAATGGAAGATAACAAAGAAGAAAGGGATCGGGATTGTGTGCGTTTGTAGCGTGAAAGGTACTATACTTATGAATTGATTTGACCCGTCCGATGTATCGAGCGTTTTATAAGTTGCCACGTGTACGTTATTCTTTAAAAAGAATAAAAAATAAAAATATATCAACAACATGCAAAAACCCTAACAATGAATCAAAAACCCTAAAAACGTATCACTGGTGGGAGCAGAATGGGGATTTTTGAACCTTACAGAGCAATCGGATGTATCGCCGGCGGCGTCCCCTTCACCGTTCAGAGGCTCGGTACCGAAGCTTTCGTCACCGTCAGTGTTGGAAAGGCTTTTCAGATTTTCAATGTAATCACACTCACCTTCGTTTTTTTCTTTGATTTGTTTTTAATATGTATTATGCTTCTCTTTGTTAAACTTTCAATTGTTTCAGTGTGCAAAGCTCACTTTGGTTCTCGTTGGTCCTCAACTTCCTAAGAAGATTGGTGCTCTTGCTTCCTATCGTGATTATACTTTTGCTGCATATGGAAACAACATTGGTGTTTTCAAGAGAGCACACCAGGTTCTGTGCATCACGATGCTCTTAAGTTTTTGTTTTGTTATTTTTCGAAGCATTAATTTTCACATTTGCTGCATTTTCAGGTTGCAACTTGGAGCAGCCATGATTCTAAGGTTAAATCGCTGCTGTTGTTTGGAGAACATATTGTTAGTCTTGATGCTCAGGGAAATATGTTCTTGTGGGCGTTCAAGGGAATCGAGGACAACCTTGCTCCCGTTGGCCATATTATGCTAGATAAGAATTTTAGCCCCAGTTGTATTATGCATCCAGATACTTACCTAAATAAGGTGAACATATCTTTTGCAATGCCAAAGATTCATAGATATCGATTTTGTATTGGTTAAACTTAAACGAAGACCACTGTAAACAGGTTCTTATTGGGAGTGAGCAAGGTCCTATGCAGCTTTGGAACATTAGCACAAAGAAAAAAATATTTGAGTTTAAAGGATGGGATTCACCTATCTCCTGTTGTGTCTCGTCCCCTGCTCTAGACGTTGTCGCAGTTGGCTGTACAGATGGAAAGATTCATGTTCATAACATACGTTATGATGAAGAATTGGTTACGTTTACACATTCCACACGTGGTTCTGTAACTGCTTTATCTTTCAGCACTGGTAGGACTGAGCAACATTCAAATTCTTTAGTTCACTACACTTGCTGCATGCAATACTTTTGTTGTAGATATTATGTTTCTTTGCTAGTAATTTGTTTGCTAATTGTCTTTCTTATGCTACATGAAATTATATTTGTCTTTTATTTATTGAAATTGAAATTAAAAGGATTAATCGTTTTTAGGATTTCCATTGGACTTTAATGAAGTACATAGGGTGTGTTTGGTTCAAATGAGGGGAGGGCTGGGTGGGGACAGATTCAGAGATTGTATTTTGTTGAGGAAGGGAGGAATTTTAATGGGGCGGACATTGCTAAATTGTTTTTTACACCAATCATGTCATATTTCAGGCCAGGATGAATAAGTTGCCAATTTAATTAATAATTGTTTATGTTTTGTTTTGAATGTTTTAAGTCAAATGAACTATGTTGATTTTTTCTATTTGAATAGTTTACAGTTATGTCAGTCACACTTTTTATTTTCTTTCATTTGCCATTAATCATGAGCTTTGCAATTTTCATGTTGATGAAACTGATATGTTGACTTCTATCTAAAAGAATATAAGAATTAAGAATAAGAATTCATCACATATCACAAAATTAAACTGTAGAATTGTGTCACTTTGCGTTATTCTGTGTTATTTATTAGATTATTTGTTTTAGATGGACAACCCCTTCTGGCTTCTGGAGGTTCATCTGGTGTTATAAGCATTTGGAATTTAGAAAAGAAAAGGCTCCACTCAGTTGTAAGAGAGGCTCATGATGGTGTGATAACTTCACTGCATTTTTTTGCTAATGAGCCAGTGCTAATGAGTTCATCGACAGACAACTCTATTAAAGTAAGATTTTTGTTACTATTGATACGCATGCTCATATATTTTTTCCATTTTGTTTTTCCCTCCATTTAATTGAGCTAAATGTTGCACCTGAACTACTTTTTGTTTTATATAGTTAAGGCAATCCATTTTTGTAAATAAGATTTAAAATTTTCATTTGTAGTGCCTGATTTTGCTTGGTGTGTATACATGTTTATAATGCTTTTACTTATCTGTTTTACCTGAACATGAAAGAATGCCTTCTGTTTTTTTCTCAGATGTGGATTTTTGACACAAGTGACGGTGACCCCCGCCTTTTGCGCTTTCGAAGTGGGCATAGTGCTCCTCCCCTCTGCATAAAGTAATAATTATTTTCTGGATCTTAGTTTATGAGGATGTTTTTTTATTAACTTTGTTGGGTAATGTTAATTATTGTAGATCCGAAACAACTTCTTCTACTCCATTATCTGTTGTTTTTTATTTTCTATTTGACAACCCTTCCTTGGATGACAATGTCAGTTCTCCACATAAATAAAGTAATAATGGATTTCCAGTCTTAGTTTATAAGATTTTTTTTTAGTAGCTTTATTGTCTAGTGCTAATTACTATTGAAACATCTACTCCACCATCTCTAATCTATATCCATTTGTCTACCTTTCCTTGGATGAAAGTTCTTTCTGCATTTTGGCTATAAAGGAGTGATTTGACTTTTAACTTCTGAACGAAGGTCTCTATCTATTTACCCCTAACATGCTTTGAAACAATGCCACTTTCACGACCTTTCTGTGATTTTCAGCATATGGATTCTTTGTTGAATCCCCTACATAGATTTGCGGAGGGGATGTAAAACTATTTTCCTCTTACAGTTCTGTTTGAGGTTTTGCTTTGTTCACTACCATTCTGCTCCCTTCCTTTTTAACTGTTCTTTTCTTCAAGTACTTGGGTTAAATTAGGCTATGTGTTTTTCGTATGGTCACCATATTACACAATGGTTGTAAATCTCACTTCCAATATTTGCCATGTGTCAGGTTTTATGCCAATGGAAGACATATTCTTTCTGCTGGCCAGGATCGAGCCTTTCGCCTTTTCTCTGTTATACAGGTTAGTTGTAGTTCATTTACAGAATGCTTTCTCTATTCATCAGAAATTTTGTTAAGTTTGGTTGTAATCAACGGAAATGTCATTTATTCAGGTTTTTTTTATAATCTATGGGTTATAATCATCTAAGTGGCTCATACAATATAAGCCATTTTGATGTTTTCTATAAAGAGTATTTGAGTTGGAGTAGCACTTTACACTCGAAGGAGTACTTTAGGAAGAGCGCAGAGTAGTACTATTTTGTATATTTGCTGAGTTTTTTTAGAAAGTTTAGATCTAGTAGGTTAACCCCTGTGTATTTAGATGCCCCATAATAATAAGTGCCGCATTTGAAATATTTCTTGGTCTCAAATCATTTGTCACTTTTAATGCCAAAATCATTATTTATTATTATTTTCCAACATTACCTTCATTTATTTAAATAATCTATCTACCTAACTGCTTCACTATAATGAGAAGGATGGAGTATTAGTTGTATACATTTAGTCTATATGGCCTTTGCTCCCTCCATGCCTTTTGGCATGCTTACTTATTTCCCCCTCTTTTTTATTGACTACATTTAATGGCTTAATCTTGTATGTTTGCAGTGTAATTATTTTCTACTCAATATCTTTCCCCATATTTATTGCTGATGTATCTACTGAATTTGAAATTTTAATAGGACCAGCAAAGTAGGGAGCTTTCACAACGCCATGTTTCTAAACGCGCTAAGAAGCTGAGAGTTAAGGTATGACTGGTGGTGATCTCACTGAATTTTTTGTTGCCTTACAGATCTGATGAAGGCATTGCTCATCTACTATTTCATATTTGAACTTTGAAGGTTTTGGTTACACACTCACCTGCATGACCCTTCTGAGTAATGTCTGGTTTACTAAAAAACCCTTTACTAGGATGCTTACAGACCTAAGTATGCAGTTCAGTGTTAATCTGAAAAGCTGCATTTTTTATACATCTTTCTAGTACTGCAGCCATTGACTTCACTAGTCCCTTATTTTTTGAACCGAGAAATGTTTGTTATAATTATGTGGGTCTGCGTGCTCTCTATTTGCATGTCTGCATACACACATTACAGAATGATTCACGTCTGTTTCTCTAAAATAACTTTCCGTGGGGTAATATGGGACTCATGTTGTAGATTGGAGACAAGATGTAGAATATTTAGGTTTCCATTTTGGAAAATGCTGGAAGACTTTTGGAATTGCTTGCCAAAGAATTTGCTGGGTTGTTATTATATTAGGGGAAGCACTGGTTGGCCTAGGTTCTCTAGTAGGTTGAGTTTTATGTTTTGCTTTCTTCTGTTTTCTGTTGAGTTTTGGTTTTCTATTCATACAATCTTTCCCTTAAAATCCCAAAATTCGTGTGAGCTAGAAGTTAGAGTTTCAACCTATAGTCTCTTTATTCTCTCCATCTCTCCCTATAATAATATAACTCTCCCAAACTACAATTTTCTCTAGACTCTTTTGGAAAAATTTTGTGGACAACTAAAAAATTGCTACATTTTGAAGGGTTTATTCAAATCTACATGATTAAATTAGATGTATGGGCTAGAAGCAATTTATTCAACGAACATCACTACTGCCTTGCTATTTGCTATCTCTTTATATAAGATTACGACTCATTCCAAACTTTATTCCTATCTGTACTTTGGCAACACTTAAAGAAGAGTAAAAATTGCATCTGGAGTTTGTCACATGATTGGTTGTCATCTGGAGTTTGTCAATCACATTTATTCATGATAGTTGTATGTTGTGTTCAAACTCGGAAGTCAGTAAAAATGGAGTTCGTATTTATTATTAATAAGCTGAGTAATAGTGCCTTTTGCTATATGCAGCACGGGTAGGGAGGGGTTATGAAATATATTGTAATCTGATTCTTTTCTTTCTTCATTAATGAACATTTGTATTTATTGAACACATCTGCTATTTTCCCACTCAACCTCACCTTACTCAATTAAATGATTATGGTGAACTTTGTTTTGTTATAACTGCTTATTACTAAATAATTGTTTCTTTTGTAAACTTAAAATTTCTACATTGTCTTCTTCGTGCTTTAATCCACATTATCTACTTCTCATGTGTGTATATGCCAATGACTGTACAGGAGGAAGAAATAAAATTGAAGCCTGTCATTGCATTTGATTGTGGTAAGCAAGTTCTTTCTTGGCATTCATTCATGTGTAATTGTGCTGGAGTGGTGGAGATCAAACTTATACATGGAATTTAATCCAATGACTTTAAGTAATTGTTTCTTTGAATTGATATATCAAAAGTATGGTTGATTAGCATTTGATTTGTATATGCTTACAAAGAATTGAATGGTTAAATGATGATTGTATCTGTCTTACATTCTAGCTAGTTCGATTAATATTTAGTAACTGAGCATAAAAAGGAAATAAACTAGGAAAAAGAGAAAACATCATATCAGTTCCGACCAACCCCTCTGCATATTGTCTGATAAAAAAACACCTTTTAAAGGACCATGTGCTTTGCATAAAGTAGAATCCAATCACCTAATATTATCCCAAATCAGCTGTTAAGCCAAAGAAAACTCGTTAAAAAGTTGTCTTTATGCAAGCAAACATCTGTCTGTATGAAATTTGTCTATTATTGCACTTGAAGCATTTATTCTATGGTTTATAAGAAAGTTATATTAAGATGTTTCACTTATTTTTTTCTTGTGCAAACTTCAGCTGAAATTAGAGAGCGCGATTGGTGCAATGTGGTTACTTGTCATATGGATACTGCTCAAGCATATGTGTGGAGACTTCAAAATTTTGTTCTTGGAGAGCATATATTAAATCCATGCCCTGAAAATCCAACGCCTGTAAAGGTTTGCAATTCGTCTTCATTGAGATTTTTTCTTTCTTTCTGATTCCTAACAATTTCTGCTTTCATAGAAGGTATGTGTTAAATGGTCCTACTTATTTTAGCTGGCCACTCAATTTGTTTCTTCAACTTCCTTTTTATAATGAAAAACTGTTGGACGTGTGGCATAATAATACTAAATATGCTGCATTTCCCTATCAGGGTGTCATTTTTTTTATGGCATTTGACTGAGTGGGGCTGAGTATTGCTTTCATGTTGAAACAGGCTTGTGCCATTAGCGCTTGTGGCAATTTTGCCATTTTAGGGACAGCTGGTGGTTGGATTGAAAAGTTTAACCTTCAATCAGGAATTCATAGGGGGACTTACATTGACATGTCAGAATCAAGAAGTTGTGCTCATGACAGTGAAGTGGTTGGGGTTGCTTGTGACTCAACAAATACTTACATGATAAGTGCTGGATATCACGGAGATATAAAGGTTCATAAACAATCAGAAAATTTTGGTTTGCATTGCTAATTATACTAGGAATTCTCATTTTTGGGTTTTATTGCAGGTTTGGGATTTCAAAGGACGGGGTCTTAAATCCAGATGGGAGATTGGTTGTTCTGTTGTTAAAATTGTTTACCATCGTTATAATGGTAATCTGAATATTCATTACTCTTTAAATTCCTGTATCCACGTGTTTGTAAATTCCTAATTCTTTTTGTTAAATAAAATTATGTGAGCTATGAATTGAAGAAAATAAAATTTTACTATATAATTCATATGCTTGGGAGATTGGTTGTTCTGTTGTTAAAATTGTTTACCATCGTTATAATGGTAATCTGAATATTCATTACTCTTTAAATTCCTGTATCCACGTGTTTGTAAATTCCTAATTCTTTTTGTTAAATAAAATTGTGTGAGCTATGAATTGAAGAAAATAAAATTTTACTATATAATTCACATGCTTGGGCCATGAAGTGATTGAAAGGTTATAATGAATTTCAGGACTCCTGGCTACAGTAGCAGATGATTTAACAATCAGATTGTTTGACATCGTGGCTCTCAGACTTGTTCGTAAATTTGAAGGTCACACAGATCGTATAACAGATTTATGCTTCAGTGAGGATGGGAAGTGGCTTCTCTCATCCAGTATGGATGGAAGTCTTAGAATTTGGGATGTGATCTTAGCTAGACAGATAGATGCTATACAAGTTGATGTGCCTATCACAGCATTATCTTTGTCCCCAAACATGGATATATTAGCAACTACCCATGTTGATCAAAATGGGGTATACCTGTGGTAAGTTTCCAAATTTGTTTTCTTTATCCGTTGAGCATAATTTTGCAGAAAGTATTTTGCATTTTTCAAGTGTTGCACCTATTATATATTCTTTTATGGTTTTTGGCAAATGATCCTGTAAGATGAGGAAACTGATTCCCTCATGTAGGTTTAAGTCATTTTCTTGAATGAAGGGCAACACTCTCTGTATAACATTTTCACTATCATGTCAACAGATACTTATTTTATTAAATTTCTGGAAGGTGCAAACAATCTTGAATGAGAGAAGTGGTTCCTTTGTAATTTAAACGATATTGAATGTATCTATGGTTCTATAAATTTCAGAATGAAGTTGAATGCGCTAATATAAAACCATTTCTGATATTGAGAAATTTTATCAGGGTAAGCCAGGCAATGTTCTCTAGTAGTTCAAATATTGATTCATATGCAAGTGGAAAAGCGGTTGTGAGTGTCAAGTTGCCAACTATCTCTTCTACAGAAGATGCTCAAGCTGAGCATTCTAGTGAGCTGGTGAATGCTTCTCAACCTAAAGATGCTCCGGCGATAACTCCGGCTTTCCCAACTCAAGAAAAGCAAATACCTGATTTAGTTACACTTTCATTGCTGCCCAAGAGCCAGTGGCAAAGCTTGATCAATTTAGACATTATAAAGGTCTTCTACCACTCAAATAATTCCTTCTCATACTATTAACTTCTGTTTTAACCTTGTATTCTTCCTTTTCCTTTTCTTTTCTAGTTTTCTGTTATGCTCTTGAATGACATTTAGTTTGTTCTGTTTGTTGAATGATGAATTCTGATATCCAGGTTCGCAATAAACCTATTGAGCCTCCCAAAAAACCTGAAAAGGCTCCATTCTTCCTGCCTTCAGTTCCATTGCTCTCGGGGGAAATATTGTTTGAGCCTGGGAAGGGGTCAGTACAGGAGAATGATGGAGTAGACAATGAAAAGCAAATAAACAAAACAAAATTAGATATGCCATCATCCCGTTTTCTGCATCTTCTTCAATCCACAAAGGATTCAGACAGTTGTAAGAATCCTACACTTCATTCTTATTTGCATCTCATATGTTAATCACACTCTCAATTATATCATTCTTTGAAACTATTTGCATCCTTCAAAATGATTTTTTAGTGAAGACAATGTCATTTTTTGTAAAAAGCTGGTGTTTAGTTGTTTCAAAATAAATTTGTCTGTCTCTGAGCCTTGGTTTTATTGAAGTGATAAAACTTTTTCACCGGGTTGATAGATATGCACTGGATATAACACAGTTAGAATTTTCTTTTCTTTTCTGAAGACTGTATTGTTAGGATTTAACATTTCATATTGCAGATGGAGCATTCACTGATTATATCAAAGGGTTATCTCCTTCAACTCTAGATATGGAACTCCGAATGCTTCAGATCATTGATGATGACGATGATGAGCAAGAAGATGAGAAGAGACCCGAGTTGGTATCAATTGAACAGCTGATGGATTATTTTATTTTTGAGCTCTCCTCCAAAAACAATTTTGAGTTTCTACAAGCTGTCATCAGGCTATTTTTAAAGGTATGAGACTTGCCTCCGATGGCCACTTTAGTTTTTTATACAAGGTCAAATGAATGTTATTTACTATATCTCTTCTTCATCTTGGCAGATCCATGGGGAGGCAATTCGAAAACATTCACACTTGCAAGAAAAAGCAAGGAAACTCTTAGATATTCAGAGCATGGTATGGCAGAGGGTAGATAAGTTGTTTCAAAGTACGAGGTGTGTGGTTGCTTTTCTTAGTAATTCCCAAATTCATGCTTGACGAGTCTTCAACTCTGCAAGTGGAAATTTAAGCCGAAAATGAAAACAGGGTAGAAATATATTTGTTCTCCACTATTACTTGGATTGATGGAGAAATCTGAGCAGAAAATTGGTTGAAATTTGTGTGGGATGTTTCCTCTTTTCATTTATTAAATTTGTGGGGGATCTAATGGAGGAATTTTGTATCGGGGTAAATTAGTCTGGTATATTCGTTCTCTTACGAGGGCAAATTTTGTATCACAAATTTTGTAAGAATTAAATTACAATTTACATTTCTCATCAATGCTGTATTCAGTATAAATTTTATTGCACGTCTGCACGTTTTTTTTGCTTGTGTAGCTGAAATGATGCAAGTAAATCACAAAAACGGGAAGTAAAACAATAGATATTTATTTGTTTCAATTGCATGTTTTGCAAATCATCAAGCTAAGTATGTGTTAAAAAAAATTGTGTGGAATTCTCTGTGTCGAAACAGTGTAGCTCGACAGAAACAAGGATTAGTCGAAATTAGTCTTATGTGTGTGTTGAGTTGTTTAGATGTTGAAGTGTCGAAGCAGATTGTTTGACACAAAATTTTGACTTAGAAAAAAAATAGTAATTTTGAACTTTTGTAAATTTGCGCTTTCTCAATTATAAATAGAGGGAGTAACTCCTATTCTTGAAATAACTTGTATTCACATTAAGAGAATTTTTCCAGTTTGTGGGTAGAGAGAAATTCTATAGAAAATCATCATCTTCTCTAATTTTTGTCAAACCCTGACTTCCTTTCTTATTAAACTTTCTTCTTCATTAACAATTGTTGCGTAAAATCATTCTTGCAATTAAGGTGTGATACAATGCACTCAGACCGGTTGATTGAATCTTGTTCATCAAGATTGGTTAGAAATTTTCAAAAGATTTTGAATTGTGATTTGTGGGAAGAAAATCACGATGACGATGAATTATCCGAATGAGCATTTTTCGACGAGTCTCTCAAATCTGAAGGGTTAGAATTATGAAAATTAGTACAAGCAGATGAAGGTGATTTTCTGTTATCAAGATCTTTGCTATCTTTTGAAGGAAGGAGTAGCATCGCTTGTAGAAAACGCAGTGGATCAAGAAAAGGTTGCATACAAAGAATTGAAGAAGAAAGATTATAAAACTATCTTTATAATTCATCAGTGTGTTGATCTTGATAATTTTGAAAAGGTTAGTGATGTAGAATCAATGAAAGAAGCATAGAAAGTTTTGGAGAAATCGTTTGGAGGCGTAGAGAATGTGAAATAGGTGAGGTTACAAAATCATAAAAGACGTATGAATTGCTTCAAATGGAAGAAAGTGAAAGCATAACGGATTTCTTCACTAGGGTTACTAAATTGGTAATTAAATCAAGGTATATGGAGAAGTGTTGACATAAAGATCAGTTGTTGCAAAAATTTTGAGGTCATTGACTCCAAAATTCGACCACGTGATAGTAGTCATAGAAGAGTCGAAAGATTTGTCAACATTGACAAAGAAAGAGCTTCAAGGGGCACTTAAGTCTCATGAACAAAGGATGGTTGGAAGAGCTGTAGGAAAGTTGAAGAGTGAAATGGCTTTGTAGATGCTATCAGGAAAAAAAAAGTTGAAATGACAACAAAGGCAGAAGAGGCTACAACAATTCGTCTGATCGAAATCAACATAAAGGAAACTGGTCGAATCAGAGAAAACCCTAGAACCAAGGCAACCAAAGAGGTGGTGATGTAGGCAGAAGAAGAGGCGGTGGTCGAAAACCTGACAAAAGTCACATTCAGTGTTACAATTGTCAGAAGTATGGTCATTATTTTAGTGATTGTCCAGAAAAGAAGAAGAATCAAGAAACTGATGCAAAGTTGGCGAAACATGAAAACGAAGAGATGTTGCTGATGGTCACAACAAGAGATGAAGAAAGATTCCAAGACCAATGGTACTTGGACTCAGGATGCTCATCACACATGACTGGTAGGAAAGATTAGTTTTCAAAATAAATCCCTCAATGAAGAACACGGTGAAAATTGCAAATGACAATACTCTAGCAGCTGAAGGTATTGGTGATGATCTGATTATGAGGAAAGATAACAAGAGGTCAGTAATTTCTAATGTATTGTACATATCAGACATGAAGAGTAATTTGCTCAGCATAGGCAAGTTGGTCGAAAAGAACTATAAAGTGTCGATCGAAGACAAAATGATGAGAATTCTCGACTCTTGTGGTAGGTTAATCTTGAAGGCACCAATGTCTCAAAATAGAACTTTCAAGATTGAACTTAATGTGATGGAGCATAAGTGTCTTGCAACTGCATCCATCAGAGATGAATGGATATGGCATTATAGACTTAGTCATCTCAATTTCAAAGACATAAGAGATTTGAAGAGAAGAAATATGGTTTCAGGATTATCAGAAACCAACATTTCAAGTGAAGTGTGTGAAAAATGTGTGCAGGTGAAACAACACAAGAATAGCTTCAGCAAGGATGCAGAAAGCAAGTCGAAGACAGTTCTTGAAGTCATATACTCTGATGTATGTGGTCCTATCCAGGTGGAACCGATTGGAGGTAACAGATACTTTGCCACTTTCATAGTTGATTTCAGTCAAAAACTGTGGACTTACCTGATCAAGAAGATTGAACTTAATGTGATGGAGCATAAGTGCCTTGCAACTGCATCCATCAGAGATTAATGGATATGGCATTATAGACTTTTTCATCTCAATTTCAAAGACATAATAGATTTGAAGAGAAGAAATATGGTTTCATGATTATCAGAAATCAACAATTCAAGTGAAGTGTGTGAAAAATGTGTGCAGGTGAAACAACACAAGAATAGCTTCAGCAAGGATGCAGAAAGCAAGTCGAAGACAGTTCTTGAAGTCATATGCTCTGATGTATGTGGTCCTATCCAGGTGGAACCGATTGGAGGTAACATATACTTTTCCACTTTCATAGTTGATTTTAGTCAAAAGTTGTGGACTTACCTGATCAAGAAGAAAAGTGAAGTAATCGAGGTATTTGTCAAATTTAAACCTATGGTCGAAAGTTAAAGATTCTGAGGACTGATGGTGGTGGAGAGTATGTGCCGAAATATTTCGATGCATCATGTGAGAAAGAAAAGATTGTGCATAAGGTGGTGCCACCCTACACTCCACAACATAATGAAACTGCAGAAAGGAAGAATAGAACCATCGTGAATATGGTGAGAAGTATGTTGAAAGGCAAACATATATCCAAAGAATTATGGGGAGAATTTATGTCTATTGCAACATACATCTTAAATAGATGTCCGACGAAGAAACTAGAAGGAATCACGCCAGAAGAATGTTGGTCTAGTGTCAAGCCTAGCCTAAGTCATTTGGAGGTGTTGGGATCTATAACACATAGACATGTGTCAGATCAGTTGAGAAGAAAATTTGATGACAAGTCGAATCAAATGATCTTGATAGGATATCATTCGATTGAAGGATACAAGTTATTCAACCCAGTGAACAAACAAGTTGTGATCAACAGAGATGTGATCATAGATGAGCTTAAGGAATGGAATAAGACTGAGAATGTTAATAAAGATTCAGTGAGAATCTTATATGAAGAACCAGCTAGTGAAGTCGAAAGAGAAGTTCGATAAGAAGAAGTCAGAGGTGAAGCAGACCCTAGCAAACCTCGACGAACAAGACACATCCCTACAATGTTGCAATAATGTGTGATTACATCAAATGACGTGGTCAATGAAGAACATGAGCTGGTATACTATGTTTTCTATGCAGATGTTGAACCAATCAATGTAGCTGAGGCATTGAAAGATTTAAAGTGGGTGAAAGCAATGAATGAGGAACTAGAGTCCATCGAAGTCAACAACACTTGGTCACTTGTTAAATTTCCTCAAGAAAAGAAGGCAATCGATGTGAAGTGAGTATACAAGGTGAAGTTAAATCCTAAAGGATAAGTAACTCGACACAAGGCAATACTTGTGACGAACGGATTTCTTCAGAAGGAATCGACTTCGACAAAGTTTTTGCACCCGTTGCTAAGATCAAAACAACCAGGTTAGTTGTTGGTCTAGCAAACATGAACAATTGACACATATGTCAGATGGATGTGAAATGTGAATTCTTGAATGACCCCTTAGATGAAGAAGTTTATGTCTCACAACCAGTTGGGTTTGTGAAACAAGGCGAAGAAAACAAGGTATATATGTTGCATAAAGCCCTGTATGGACTTAAACAAGCTCCAAGAGCTTGGAATAAAAAGATAGTTAGCTTTCTAAAGGAGAAAGAATTTGTGAAGTGCACAACTGAGCATGGAGTATATGTAAGGAGAAGCAATAGTGAATTGTTTACACTATGTCTCTATGTCAATGAACTCTTAGTAATAAGAAGTTGCAAGAAGGAGATCAAAGATTTCAAACATGATCTAAGTGAGGAGTTTGAAATGTCATACTTGGAAAATCTCTCATATTTCCTTGGCGTCTAATTCTACAAAAGTTGTAGAGGTTTGATGATGCACCAAAGAAGATATGCAAATGAAATACTCAAGATATTTGAGATGCAATATTGCAATCCAACTTCGACTTCAGCTGAGCCTAGATCGCAACTATCGAAAGATTCAGATTCAGATGATGTCAACCCAACCTAATATAGAAAACTTATTGGGTCACTAAGATACCTTTGTCACACAAGGCCTTACTTAGCATACATTGTAGATATGGTAAGTAGATTCATGCAGAAGCCAAAGGTATCACACCTAGCAGCGATGAAGAGGATATTAAGGTATCTGAAAGGAAATCTCGACTAAGACATTTTATTTCCTGCAGCTGATGAAGGAAAAGAATGCAAGTTAGTGGGATAAACCGACTCAAGTTGGTGTAGTGATGCTGAGGATAGAAATTCCACAGGTGGCTATGTGTTTATGCTAGGAGGTGCACTAGTTGCTTGGAGTTCGAGAAAGGAGCCAGTAATGGAATTGTCGTCGTGTGAAGCTGAATACATAGTTGATTCTCTCTGTGCATGTCAAG